ACCAACCAATAGAATAAAYGATACAAGCACCAGAGCACTTCTTTCAGAACAAGCKTTTGTTGTAACTTATTGAGGACTATGGCGGTTTCTATTACATTTTGGAAGTTTTRTTAYATCTTCTTCCTGGCTTAACTAAATAAACTTCTTTAATTTAACCAAGCAGCCTTTGTTCTGCTTTCATGAAGCCACCTTTGTTCTCTTGCCCCACAACCTTCTCTCCCATGCACCAAAGCCCAGCACAGCAGATGGTTCCCGCAGTTGCCAGGCACATTTCCAGTGGCCTGGAACGGAGCCTTTTGCCYTTGTCCTTTCCATGACTTGGGTCAACTTCTGCGAGGTGGTTCCTGGGGTCTATCCAAGGCCTGTGGGCAGGCAATGCTCACCTTGTGTGCAGCTCCCTCACTGCAGCCTGTGCTGCTGTCACCTTGGGGAAGTGAGGTGTGGTGTCCCCTGGACTCAGGTGTGCTTGCAGGTGACACCACCGTGTGAATCAAGTGGCGTTAGCTGTATGAAATGACAGGGATTTTCTCCTGTCTTTCACSTGGGATATTTGTTGAGCTATGGGGCTATGGTCCTGTTTGACAGCACACCACAAGAGCCTTTTCTTGTGGAAGAGCTAAGCACAGATGCAGCACCCAGCATGTATTSCTGGGAGATGTTTCAGCAATTCCAAGCAAAGTGGTGATGCCAGCTCGTCTGCAGCGATGCTCATGGTCCAGCCATGAACCGTGGGCCAGGCTGATGAAGCAGAACAAGACCATGTGGCCAAAACCCTGCCATCCCTCCCCTGGATTCACCCCTCTTTGGATGCTGCAGGCTCCTTGCTGTGGTGCTGGGGGTGCTCTTTTATTGCACTCAGTGCCACAGAGGATGAGTGACTCTCTTCTGGGACAGGCCAGCTCAGACTCTTCATTCAGATGGCTCTTCCTTCTCCCTTGGAGGCTGGTTTGRAAAGCAGGGTGCTGTGCAAAGCGTRGCTGCCTTTCCACCCWCGCTCAGTGATGAGGGGAGGTGGCTGAGTGCTGAGTGTAGAATGCCTGCATGCAGCGTTTCTGGCTGGTTCCAGCCCCTCCTCTGCTGGTTAGGTGTCTGACAGCGTGGACCCTGGGGTTTGGTCTCTCCATGATTTTGGTTCTTCACTGTGTGATGGATGAAATCCACATTTCAAGCATTTCAGGCCCTRGCAGAAGGGGTGTGTTTGTGGCTCAGGGGAATGTGCCTATGCTGTAATTGTGCTGAGGCAGGCCTGAGGTCATGCTTCTGTCTGAGCCATTGCTGGRTGCTCAATGGGGACAAAATCCAGTGTGGTTTGTGAAAGTGAAATGCTTCCCGTTAATTTCCAGGCAACCTGTGAGCTGAAGAAATGATGAGACACTGTCCTGAAAACAAGGGAAGGTGCTGAGCTGGGGTTGTCCTCCTTGGTTCCAGCCCAGCCATTACCATCGGGTACAAGCAACATTATTATTTAATTATTTAGCAAAAAATGTTTGTGCTGGGTCCTTCTGTAGATGCAAGCAGTGAATGTGCATTTCAGAGCTGAATACCCTGAGCTGTGCCTAATCCAGAGCAAAACGTCCTGAACACATTTTCAGAAGCAGTGGCTATTTCTGCTGCCCTGAAATTACCTTGATCAGACCCACCTCCCCCCACCCCGCACACTCCCCACCCTGATGAAKTCTTTAGTCCTGCTACTGATGCTCCAAATACAGCTTATAAATTACACTCAAGGAAGCAGAAAGTTCTGCAAAACAGAAAGAACGCCTGACTTGGTTCATTCAACAAAGCAGCTGGAGAGGGAGGCTCATTCCAAACCCTGCCTCACAAAATCTGAATCTGCTTGTCCAGTCCTTGGACATAAATTGTTTTTCTCCACAGGTGCTGCTGTTTCACAGAATCCTCCATGCTGCTACAATCCCTCTTCTTAAAGCCTTGATCTTCTCTTCAACCCCACCTGTCCTTCAGCTCTGCAGTGGCAGCCAGGGAGGAGGAGGAGGCAGAGGATCCCTGGTGAAGCAGAGAACAAGAGACAGSTGCCTGTCTGGGCTGGCCACCGCTGTGCCCTGCCAGTGGCACTGCCACTCCTGTCCTCAGACAGCCCAGTGAGGGACAGAGCTGTTTTATGATTCACTTTTCTTATTGCCACAGGATGTGTCAGAACAGCTCAGTACTGAAGCCATTCAGATGGCCCCTGGTGCTTAAAGGTGTCTTTGTTCTTTTTCTTTTTTTTTTTTTTTTCTTCAATACCCCTCTTCATGGGGAGCATATAGGGAGGAAAAACAACTCTCTGAATTATTTCATGAAGTGCAAGGTGTATTTTCCTTCCACTCCAGCCTGTAAGTAAATTTTCTTCTGTAACGCAGGGGTGAAAGATTTCTCTTGTGCTTTGTTTTCAGGAAGATTTTGAGGGGATAAATATGTCTAATGACATATTTTTTTGACACTTTATGCTCTTAAAGCTCCAGATTTTTTCAGAACACAGATATYTGAAGCTGTGTCTGTAACATCAGTGTGAGATGAGGGATGCAGTGCAGTAAACTCTTGCTATTCATCATCTGAAGAAMTGAAGGTTGGTGGTAAAAGTCCACAGATACAAATTTAATGAGACTGGATGAACAGTTTTTCCCATCTCTGCACATAGGGAATATGGAAAACACCAGGGGATGACACTTAAATTGAAGAGCTGTTTGATTTCTGTTTTGCTTACCTCTCAGAAAACATTGTGATGTTTGCCCCCTTCCTTCTGCTCCTTCCCCTTTGCAGTTACAGAGTTTCTCCCTTGAGCAGTATTCAGTGAGAAAATGGGCTGCTCTAAGAGGGGAGCTAGAGGTTGACTTGGGAGAATAATATCATCTTTCAGAGTATGAGAAATTAGAAACAGGATGAAATAGGTGAGACATGACCTTGTGAAACCCAACTAGAAATGCTAGAGTGTCAGACAGAATACTCACTGAATTTCTTTGAGGTAACATTTCCACATTCTTTGAAAAATGATCTTTTATACAGACATAGCAGCAGAGATGAAGAGATGTTACATTTGTTTTGCTGAATAAATACTTCTTGCAGAAATAATGAAACTGAGGCCATGAATAAATACATAGACATTTCCAAAGCCTGAGGGCAGTAAAATGGCATATACACACTGACAACTTTGGGCTGCTCCCAGTCTGATTCCAGTGCTTTGATCTTTAGGGAATACTGCACCAGAACATGAGACCAGAGACTCGGTAAGACTCARCATTGTATGGCAACATCTTTACATGCTGATGCTTTTGCATGTGAATATCAGTTCTAGAAGGTAACCTGGTTTGCACGAGCCATCATTTGCCATAATTCTGACAGAAATTCTAASTGCTTGTGTCGCCAGCTGAGGTGAGGACAGAAGGTGAACACTCGGGTATTGCCCACTGTTTGAGATGCCCTGGAACATCCTGGGGTGTAAGGGAAAAATGCACTTATGCAAGCACTAACATCCATCCAGGGCAGAGAGGGTGAGATTGCTTTGAGGATCTCAGCAATAAAGATAAAACCAGCAAGAAACATGTACAAAATGGAGATCAGTCCTTTAATGTCAGGCAGTGAGCTGCCACACTTGTGAAAAACTCCTTTCTTTAGTCACCTTGGTTACACGAGTGCCCACTTTGTTGTTCTGGTCCAGACCCTTCATTTGTCTGATCACCTTGCCAGCTTGCAGATGAGCTGGCAGCCTCCTGGGGCACAGCAGCAGCTGTCTGCAGCTTTGCCAAACAGTGAGTTAGCCCAAGCAGKGCTCTTTGCTGCTGTGCCCGTAAGTTTCAGGCAGTTACCTGGATTAATTTCACATGAACTCCCATCTAAGCATTCAATACAGATGCAGCCATGCTGTTCTCAAGCCCTGGCTTTGGTGTGAGGTCTACCAGTGACTATCTCCACCTAAYATCTCTGTTAATTCTGTTACTTGTGGTGCTTGTCTGTGAGCTTGTTCCCTAATTACAAATGGGGTTTGTGTAWGACTGCTTTTGTAAAAGAGTGCTTTTACACTATGTGAAGCCCCTTTCCTTTGTAATCCTTTTAAAAATTAAAAACTCTTTAGTAACTCCTTGTTTTACTGATAAGAAACAGTAAAAAACTAGTTTCTCAGCTAAAAGGTTTAAGCCATCTGCATTATTACTGTGAACACTGACTTGCAGCTCACAGTTTTGGTTTGTTTCCACAAGGCTGGGAGAAACCCAGCATCTCCTTTTTGGGGTCCCACTGGGGCTGGACAGACTGCTCTCAGTGAGCTTTAAGTGCTGAGGTTTACAAGATGCTCTCTGGAGGGCAGAACACAGTATTTCTCACATAACTTTAAAAATCCCCTGCAGCAGCAGTGAGGGAGCCAGTGATGACTATTTTGATTCCCTATGACAAGTTTACACAATGTAATAAGGATCTGGCAGAACATCACTTTGCTAATTGCGTGCTCAAGTTGTGTAACAACACTTCTTGTCCAAGGTCAGAATTTAAAAAATAAAAAAAAAATCTGCAGAGGTAAGTGGAAAATGAAGCTATGCAGGAAGCTCCGAGGGATTTTTTTTCTAAGGCTATAGACGATCTTGGATCCTAACAAATTGGGAAATATCTTTTGAGAACCCTGACATCTTGACATGTTTCTGCCAGTCCAATGCATCCTCTGGATGGAATGCACGCTGGGTATTTGCGAGGTTTGGGGCTCTGTTCCATGCTTTGATTATCTTCTAGGGCAAACTGCTTCCTTGTTTTGTGCTTACATTTGCTGCTTCTGTTCTGCATGGGTGAATTCCCTCATTTTCCATGTTATTTCCTGCCTTGGCAGCCCAGCCATGAGGTGGTGCTCACTCTGCAGGACAGAGGCTCTCAGCAGTCCTGCTCTGCTGGCAGGACTCCCCAGGGTCTGTGCCCAGAGGTCACCACTGAGGACAAAAGGCAAAGAGCTCTAAATAATCTCAAATCCATTTGGACTTTTGCTTTCTCTGTGAGCCCCACTTTTGTGGAGATGGTGCAGCAGCACTCAGATATTCTGCCTTACCCCTGCAAGGGCAAAGGCCATTCTGCTCTGATCACTCCTGCCACCAGATCAACCTGCCTTCATTAAAGGATAACCAGATCAAACAAAGCCTCTGGCTTCTCATTTGAAAGAGTGCAGCAAACCACACCAGGGTCGCACCAGTATGCAGAGCAGACTGACCTTTCGGGTAACAGTCTTAGAGTAAGTTAAAAAGGAAGATTTTTTTTTTTTTTTTTTGGGTGGCTTCAGTGTGTACAGGTTGCAAGACCTATGGAGAAGTGTTCTGTGGGTTTGGTTTGKTCTCTTTTCTTTAAAATGTTGAATTACTATCTCACGTGTTTAAATTTATATGGCTTCTGATGCACTGATTGGTTGGTGTTTTGCTCACTGGTGAGAATAAACTGTTTTTTTGTGTACAGCACAGTGAAGGAATGAAGCAAGTAATTGTTCTGTAGACCTTCAACTCCTTTCTAAGCCAGCCTTTTTGGAGCAAGAAGCCAGGAACTCAGGTAAGGAGAAAAATGCAAAATCTGCTCTCTTCCTGGTCCACTGCACTTATGGTGACACTGGTACTTCTTCTGTCTTACCATTTTTATGATCAGATTATACTTAAATCTCTCTGAAAGGTTTGTTCATTGATGAGCTTTCCATGTAAAAAGTGCTGCAAGTTCTCACTGCACAACACTGTGAAGACTTACTGCCTTCCTTTGCTAAGGGAGGAAGCAATATTTTGATTTGATGCCATTAAATTTTTTTCAGCAATATATAAAAGCCATAATAGCATATGCGGCTAAAAACCTAAAAAAATGAACACAATTGAACAACTCCTTTCAAACTGCTTGAAATTAAGTATTCTGGAATATTGTTTTGAAATAAATACTTTGGGTTTAAAACTTTCTATTGGGTTTGGCGTTTTTTTTTTTGAGGTGAACCAAATTTACAACGCTCTGCTGTATGGCCTATCACATTTAGTGTTGATTCAACTTCATGAGGAGGTTTGCATTTTTCGATTAATAAATATTTTGTTTGGATTTTTTTTTTATTTTAAGTTTACCAAATATTATTACTTCCTAAACACTGCCTATAACCTTCTKTATCAGCAAATAAAGTCTGACTGCTGGAGTGAGAAATAGGCTAGATGTTCTGTTTCTTCTGCTGGTGGGAAATTCAGATGAGCTTTGAATAGAGATAGTTTGCAGTTTCAACAGGCTAGTCAAAACTTTGATAAGGGAGAATTCACTGCAGTAAAATGCTTATGCAAAGGGGGTTTATAGGCATGTGAAAATTAATTGGTTACAGGGTAAAAGGTGGAGTTGCTTAGTCTTAAGGTCTTGTTTGTTGTTTTATATACTTTGTAGGAAGAACTCTCACTTTTATTCTTATTTCTAGAAAATATTCTTGAGAATACTTCTAAGCAATGAAGAACATTAGCAGATCTTTATTTGTTATAAAGTAATTTACAAGTAACTTCTGAAATAGAAGTAACAATTGTGGTTAGTACTCCTAATAAATAAGTGGCCAAAAAAGGAATCATTGTGACTTCTGGTTCTCAAATTAACTGAATCACCGCTAATTGACTCTCATGTATGATTGCCCCTTCCTAGGTGCCCTGCTTCAAGCCTTTGTGTTGCAAAACAGATTTGAAGGCTCTCTACGTCAGAAGAGACATCTCTAAGAATCCTGGCACAACTAAACAAGAGTTTCTTGAGCTTTTGTTGCTTGTCTCCGTGGTGCAGATGGAGCCCTTCTCTGCGGGTGTGATGGTGGCAGTGCACCTGGTCCTGCTGAGCCTGGCCATCGGGAGCAGCCAGGGATGCTACTGTGAGCATTATCCCTGGGTGCCGTGGTCTGCCTGCTCACAGACCTGCAATTATGGCACACAGAYCAGGCACAGGTAGGGCTGAGCCATCTCTCTTCCCCTGGGTTTCTGTTAGGGGAAAATGCCTCTTCTGGAGAGGGGCACCTTGTGAAAAATTGTCGTGCTCAAATGTTCATCAGACAATCAAATAACTTTATTGCAACACCTCAAAATTASAGAAGTTTGTATATAAAACATTACTGCTCATCAGGCAGGGAGGGAAGGAGAGGGCTGGAATTAAGTGATCTKTAAGATCCCTTCCAACTCAGACCATTCTAATCCAATGATCCAGTGTCTCCAAACAAAGCAGTATGTGCAGATGGATGCAGTGAGGTGAGGACAGCCAGGTCCCACAGGGGCCTTGGTGTCAGTGTGCACTGAGTGTTCTGCCCCCAGAGACACACGAGGCTGGTGTTCACAGCTCTGCTCTGGGAGCCCTGCACTTCCTGCTCACAGGAAGGGTGAGCTCCAAATTTCCTMCCCATTAATTTTATGACAATGGTAAATGTCAAATAAAGATTCAGCAGCATCAAATTGGATGCAACTCTGTGGTATAATCTAAACTTGTGAGAAATCCCCTCCTTTCCTGCTGACTCTGTCTGTAGCCATCCTCTGGCACATCTGAAGTTGCATGAATCAAAGAGAATTGTTCTTTAAACTTAGGGCATATTTGGATTTTTCTTGTAATCAACATTCTGCAACTGCATTTTATCTCTCAAGGTTTCTTGGTTGGGCTCAAATCATTTTGTCAGCCTTCACCCACAGATAGGGAATGCCTACTATCTGTCTATTCTTTCCTAGCATTGTTTTTGACATTCTTTAGGCTTCCAGTACTACATTGGTTCCATCCTCCACATGGCTGTGACCAGCTGTGTGCAAAGCAAGAATCTCGTGCATGTAACCAGCAAACGTGTCCTATCAACTGTCAGCTTGGAGACTTCGGCCCTTGGTCAGAATGCGACCCGTGTGTCAAAAAACAAGTAGGTAGAAAGTGTATTATGTTGGTTAAATTAAAGAATTTACACTGAAGAGATCTCCTGGTTACAACTTTATGGCAGTTCATCTGCAAAAATGATGGTTTAAGTTAACAAGGCAAATTGGTTATGAATTATACAGTAGGAGCCAAAGAGAACAAGTTAAAATAAGCAGATCAGACCAGAAAGGGGTGATTTAGTAGAGTAAATCCATTTATGAGATCTTGCTTCAAAGTTTCCACTGCCATAATTGAAGGYGAGTTTTTCACTTAAAGAATAAACTAAACTGTAAAGTGTGCATGTCTGCTTAAGCAGGAGAAAGCCACAGGATCTTAGCTTATCCATAGCACTCTGTGTGTTCTAAAGACAGGAAAGCAGGATCAAATMATCTCTTCAAAGAGTCCACAAATCCTAAGTGCTGCTGGCTAAAAATGTTCAGGCTGCATAGTCAGGATCAACTTGAGARTGCTGCTAACAAATATAGAACACCATTCCCTGAACCTTCAAATCCACAAAAAAACCCCACAGGTACATGTGCTAATATCTGTGAGACAAACCCCCAGGATGACGCTTCTTCCTCTTGGGCTTCTGYCTGTTGCCAATGGGAGACTCAGAGGTGAGAGAGTAGAGAGGGAAGAAATGAAAAATCAGGTTCAAGTGTATTTGACCTAAACAAACCAAGCCCTGTCCAGTTTAAGGTTGCAGCAGACAGAGGAGAGTGGACAGCAGATTGCTCTATGGGGGTGGCTCTATGGCTAGTGGGTCCAAGCTTTGAAGCTGACCATGAGGGCAGCTCCAAGATTCCATGCAGAAACTGCCTACATCTCTCTGCATGCACCCCTTGGCTTCAGAAATCCATGCTGGAAAAGCAATCCTGCAAAACCTGGCAGGAATCATGAGTGTATCTCTATGTACATATATCAATATGWACATTTATACATATATGTGTATGTATTTATATACATGTATACATGTATCTGTATATACACATATAACTTTCTGATGCCCAAACAGGATRAGAAGACATGAAAAAGATGTTCTAGATGTGACATGCCAACCAGCCTGAGGGGTTGCAGCTAGGATGGACAATATGAGAGCAGGGCAGGGAGAATCAGTGAAAGATTTGGAGACAGAAAACTTCAAGAGCTGAAAATGAGTGTTCTTCTCAATTGCACTGATTTCAATATCCTCTCATATGTCTTACATCCATATATATACATCCATGTTAATTTTTACTAATTTTAAATATTGATGCAACATCTATGCTTCTTCAASCAAAAGCATGCTTTTGTGGACTGTGGTACATTCTCCCCTGCCAACTATAAAGATTATAACTTGTGACCTTTATAAATAGGAAAAAACCAACAGAATGGAGGACTTGGATTACAATGTAAGAGTGAAGACTAGTGTGAGTTCCCAGAGAGGGGAAGGGATAAAGAAGTGGAAGGTCTCACAAATATAGCATTATGGATCTGAAAGGCGGTGCAAGAAATGGTTCTCTTGAGCTTGAAACCTTTCTTGCTGCTCTTTGCATTCTCCCTTCAGAGTCACTCGGTCACTGATTTTCACTAGAATCTTCCTGAATTGTTTGTCTCCAGTATCTGTCTAAAGGGAGGGAAGTCTGCAAAGAGCCCTACTTCATCAGTGGGAAAAATTCTTAGAGGAGGAACTGTTGAGTCACATGGAGACAGGGCTCACGAGAGTCCCGTGGAGTGGAAAACATATCTGAAATGCTTTACTGTTCAACTTTATTGTTCTGCGTGGAATGTGTTGGGGAAAGAAAACTCCATGAGATTCCAGAAACTTTCAGGAAAAGCATTTTTGTCATCCCAAGTCAATCAGTTCTCCTCAGACAACGGGCCCCACATGTAGGAGTCCAGCCAGCTGGGTTGTCACTGTCAGGGTGTTTCTCTTTTAGCAGAGGTGGTAAAAATCTCTGTAAGCCTGTTCTCACACCATTTCCTACTGTACATTTACGACTGAAATACAGGGACAGAATTTTTGRTTCCTTTGGTGATGTAGACCAGATTGTCTGCAGTTAAATCATTTATGCTCCATCAGCTAATGAGGCTCTTGGATATCCCTTCCCTGCCTGTCTCCCTGGGATGGTTGGATGTAAGGACACCAATAACTGATCATTTCCTTCAGGGTTCTGCTTTTGATAAAGCTTCAGCAGCACTGAGGCGTGTGGCTCTGCCTGGGGTGGCATTTTGCTACAAACACTGATCACAGATACAGCCCTGAGTTTATTTCTTCTGCCTTTCAGTTTCGTACCCGGCCCCTMCTGCGACCATCCCAGTTCGGGGGTGAGGACTGCACCGAGCCGCTGGTGGATTCCCGCCCGTGTTTCCCAACTAAGATCTGCAACATAGTGGAAGTTAACTGCAAGAATAAATTTCAGTGTGAAAGCGGTAATGATAATGTGCAGCTGCAGTGTCACCAGTTAGGCAAAGATTCAATACTGATACAAAAGAGATCTGTACATTACATGCATAAATTCCAGGGAAAAGGAACCAGGGAGAAAAGTCTGTGTCAGAATTCTTATGCACTAATAGCAGCTTAACTTTCCAGCTTCTTCAAYAAATAATTAAAACACAATCTGTAGCCTGAGATGTCACTATGACCATGACAGCTGGACAGTAGCACTGTTCCAACAATATTTCTTTGCACATTTTTTTGAGGTGCAAACATACCCATAGAGTTTGAACAGAAATTCTCACTATTTTTATTAGGCTTGTGGCTATTTCTTGTTTGCTTCCATTTAGCAATACAGTATTAGACTCAATTTTATCCACATATGCTTTTGCCAAACTTAAAATTAAGCCTTTGCAGCTTTGAAACAAGGCAAAACTTGCAGAATTGAAACAACCATTTCTTAATTGGGCTGATCCTGGCCTGATACTGCCTCAGTGTTAACATCTGTGGCAAGCTCACACCTTTGTGAGGGAAGAAGACAAGACTGCCCTTTCTGCATTCAGACAAGAGGAACCTTTGCTGCTGCTGTTTCTCTGGTGCAGGTCGCTGTATTTCAAAATCATTGGAATGTAATGGAGAAAATGACTGTGGGGACAACTCTGACGAAAGAGACTGTGCAAGGAAAAAGTCTGTGTGCCACCGAATGTATGAGCCCATTCCTGGTGTGCAGTTAATGGCCAATGGGTAAGCCAATTTTGCTAACTTTTGCATGAGTTTGTTATCTCACTAATTTAGATAACAGTGTAATTCCCAGTTAGTATGTGATCACATTCACTAAAACATAATCTCTCAAGTTAARACTGTAAAGAAATTATAAAAATACAATAAAACCTTCAGGCTAGGACTTGCCCGCTGTGTCTTCCAATCCTGCTCTGTTCTGCTGGTGGAGCAGATGAAGAGTTGTCAAGGAACGCTTCTCCTCAGTGACTTGTCCTTGTCCAGAAACCAGAATATCATGTACAGGCAACTTACAGCTCATGGAATTACTTACATGGTGCCAAATGCTTCAGAAATTTTGAGAATGTTTCTCCATAGATGCTGCTTGTGTTACATTTCAAAGGGCATTTCAATTGCTTCCCGGCTATTAATTAAAGCAATATAAAGCCTAAACATGGGATGCGTCTCCCAAGCAGGCTTGAATATTGTAATTGAATTTTGATCTCAGTGTGGTCCAGTAACATCACTTATGGCAGAAATGGAGAACCACCAGTTCAGTTTCCTAAAACCGTTTTTAGGTTCTCTGCTTAAGGCTGACTGCCTTATCCTGACTTTGGGGTTATTGTAAGGTTAGGCATTGCAGGAAAGTAGGAAATTGGATTGATGCTACTGCATTTTTCAGGTGATGCCTGATGATTTTTGCTTTTCCTTTTTACGCTTTCTGTACCCGCTATGCATCTCTGGTATCCCTTATCCCRCATGTTTATAATTCCTGTATCCTGATGTTCAGCTTAGTTTAGGAGTTCTGCTGGGCAGAGAGACCAAACATCCTGAGGAAGGGGTCAGTGTGCCCTGTGCTATCTTAAACCCGAGGCTCCAGCCTTGGGTGAATCCTTGTCTTTGGAACATCTTGTGTGAACTGGGCTCTGGCCTCATCTGGGGGACATTACTGCATTTGTTGTGTTTCTTATTGGGGAATCCTAAACAGATATGTTAATTCCCGAAATCTATAAAACTTGTATCCATGCTATACACGGGTGTGCATTCTGCCATCAAAGTGCACCTGGGATCCCAAATACAGAGGTAAAACCCTTTTATCCCCTTAACCACGTCTGTGTCATTATTAAAAACTGGCCTTTCAAGGCAACACAGGTGAATTCAATGTGAATGAGAAGTTCTTGTAGAGTGATATCTCTCAAAGCAGTAACATGACCCAGATGCTCATGCTCTCAATCAAATCTACAATACCCCAATGCAGCTATATACCATGAAATGTTTCAAGTCCATAGATCTTTCTGGAGTTGTTTAACCTCTGGAAATATTTTTTTTTTTTAGATTTCACATTCTGTCAGGAGAGAGCCGAGGGGAAGTCCTTGGCAACTCATTCAATGGAGGAAAATGCACAACAGTGAAGGGCAATGTGGCAAGGAAATTTTATCGTCTCCCTGCAAATGTGGAGGCTGTCAGCTTTCAGGTACTATCAAACAGCAGCTCCTAGCTGAAAAACTCTTGCTGTAATCACAATCTAAGACGASTGCTCAAGTGTTTGCTAGTACTGCTTCAGAACAAGATTTCTCAACCTGGTGAGGCTGGAACATGCTTGAGTTGATGTGTGGCAATGGGATAAATTTTCTGGTTCCCCCATTCAGACCCATGTTAACTCAATGATCATATATCAGGGTCAATATGATTGATCTGAGCTTCTCCTGCTTCCCTGTAGCTGTGGCCTTATGTTGGCACCACGGGCCCTCTCCTAGCCAGATATCATCCAGCCAGGAGCTTGTTCAGCTCCAAAGCTTATTCCAGCATCACTGCTGTGTGTTTGAATACCAATGGCTGCACCTACTGACTCCAGCTCCCTTCCTGTCACCTGCAGCCTTGGGACACTGTTCCCTCCTGAGCCACCTCCTGAGCCACCTGGACCCCTCCGTCCTGCTTGTCCCCAGCCCAGACCCTCCATGGAGCTGAAAGGAAAGGAGGCAGACACTGAATGTGGGAAGCAGGAGGATAAAATATACACAGCCTGGAGAGGAGGGTTACAGGACAGGCCAAGGACAAAATGAACCTGGCTTGTATCATAAAAAATCTGGAAATCATTAGTTTTTTTTGGACACTGGCATTTAGAAAATGCTGTGAGGTGCCATGGTTAGGGCACAACATCTGGGTGTGCAAATAGGGGCAGGCCCTGTTTGAAGGCAGCAGGTGCTGCCCTGGGAAGGAAAGGATGCAGGACATGAAGACAGCTCAACTAATGGATCATAACTGAACTGCTGATTTTTGCCACAGATGTCATGAGGTTTTAAAATTGCTTTAACAAAAGCGACTGAGACAAGGACACCCTGCTACATTCCACAGAAACTGCAATTGAGTTGGCCATGACATGTAGGATTTTTCAGAAACAGTGAAAAATTCCTATGTGCAGAAATATTGAGAGGAAAGCCAACCCTTGGTTTGCTCCAGTCTCTATACTTGTGAAGATCATTAAGTAGCTGATGTCCATTTGCAGAACTGTTAAGGGTTTGTGAAACTCATCTTCAAGGGTGCATCTTTATCTTTTAACATTTAGAGCAGTTTCTCATATAGGCAGGTCACTGGATCATACCTTCTTGCAACTCCAGTGTATTTTCCTGCCAAGGCATATGACATTTTGTAAAATACAAGTGGATTGGGGAATGCCACCTCACCTCCCAAAGAACTTGGGAGCCCTGTGAATCAAATAAGTCTAGAGGAATAAAAAAAAATTGCATCTGTCAAAAACCCACAGGGGTTTTGCCTGAATTTTGGGAAATGAGTGTTTTCTGATCTGATGCTGAGGTTTTCCTGGTGCTTTGCTCAACACCTCCACTGAGGCTTACCAACTCGATCTGGCAGGTTTGCTCACAATTCCTCACCACCTGCCTTTAATCCATCATACCATCTGAGGGCTAGCACTCCAAGTGTACTCTAAGACTCTCCKCTGGAAATCTGCTCATTCTTCCAGCTGAAAGAAGAAAGGTCAGGAAAYACCAAACTCTGTCTTGTACAATATTGAAGCCATGGTATCAGGAAGTGGTCAGAATGAGGACAATAACATGTATTTCTCAAATTCTTTTAAAACTGGGTTGAAACTTGTTAAAAATTATTCCTAAGCTTTAGGAACAGGGCTGGAAAGTTCTAGAAGAAAGTGTTACACACTTTTTTGTTGCTGTTGTATAAATCCCTATTAGTAAGTTTTTTTATTCTTCTTGCCTATTAGCCTTTCTCAGCCTCATCTTTTGTGTTAAGAGCAGTTTTGTAGCTTGCTTTCATGTCTCAAATCATGCATGCTTTTTTTCCCATTAAGAAACATCAAGAAATCGAGAACCCTTTTCTTAATAGTTTTCTGTTTCAGATTATTATTTGTGCAAATGCATTTTGCTTTCCTGAATTGCCAGGTAACAGATGAYGAGGATGATGTAAAATCGGATTTCTACAAAGACTTAACTCCCCTGAGTAATGTCGTTTCTGACAGTAGTTCATCCGATYACAGAGGTGAAAGACATTCTGGTATCCCAATTCTTTTTTCAAAAAATAAAAAGGTCCAAGTTACATCATCTTCCTCCTTCAAGAAAGCCATCAAAGCCTCACGTGAAAAGGTAATTGAATGTTGCCTTTGGTTTCTTTCTTTCAATTAATTTCAGTCGGCTCATTTTGGAACTTTCCCTACCAAGACATTGGCCCACTAGAATTAGGTATTAAAAAACCCTCTTCTGATACTATAAGATATTCCTGGTAGTAGCATACCTTTTATAATGCAACATAGTTGTCCGGGTTTAGTACAGAAATCCTAAGCTTATTCCATTTTTAAAAAGCATAGATTTGACATTATTACATAGGGAAAAGAGTGGTTTATCCAATCCTAACTATACATTAAGAGGGCACAGTACCTAACAGTAGCAGACAACTCAAAAAATAAAGGAAGTGCATTCAGGAATGTCACTCATATGCATGTACTGAGTATTAATCTACTTTTTTTTTTTATTTGGTAACTAATTTGCATRTTGGTGTCTCATGTCTGCCAAGATGCACTTGGTCATAATCTCAGAAACATCACAACCACAGGAAAAATTTCTCAGAATAGAAAACATTTTTTTTCCCATAAGATTCTGCATCTGTAATTCAAATGAATACTGTAGGGTATAAAATTACATATCTTTATAGCTTAATGGCAGTAAACGATGGGCTCGTGTTTGTATTTCTGTATGGGAAAGGCCACAGACTGAATGAAGCTAAAGCTTGTTGAAACCCAGGAGTTCTAATGCAATTAGAGTGAAACTTTTGCAAAAATATTAGTCTTTTTATTAAGATTTTCTATGATGGAAGTTTACTGCAGGCCTTGCTCACTCATCCTAATGTTTAAGGAATTTGGCTATTTAAACAGTCCATTACTCCTTGTTTSAATGCAGCTATCCTGGAGATCCAGCTCCTGGAAACCAGGTCACTTTCATGCCCATGTAAACACCTGTACACAGATCAGCTGCTCTCCTGTACAACTGGCAAGTTTATTTTCATGGAACCGTGGCTTCTTATTGGCTTAAACCCAATTACAGAAATATTAGTTAAAATTAAATTTCCAACAGAAAGGTTCCTTTGTGTATTACATTGTTTTTCAGCATTGTTGTCTTGGAAGGTGGTGAGGCACTGGAAAAGGCTGCCCAGAGACACTGTGGGTACCCCATGGGCAGCAGGGATTGGATGGGGCTCTGACCAACTTTGTCCAGGGGAGAATGTTCCTCCAACCCAAACCATTCCGTGTGAAAATCACAGAAACCCACCAATAACTTAGTCAGGTGTTGGCTAAAGATGACACAATTTTAAATCCTTTCTTAACAAATCCATAGCAGAAGTTTTTCTGTGGGTCTTCCTTGTGTTCTCTACTGAGTCACACAAGAAACCTCTATTTTTATCTTTACCTGAAAAAAAATATATTATGGAACGTTTGTAGACAGATGCGTACTTATATATGCTTGAGACACCTACAAATAAATCTGCAACACTTCCTTAAATAGTGAAAAAATAAGTTTATATTGATCACTTAAAAGGAGGGAGGAACTTATCTGGGCTTTGGGAGGCCAAATTCAGACCTGTATTTACAATATGTATATACATGACATAAATATTTATATAAAAATTTAATATAATATGCATATGTATTGCATATATGCATATAAATGAACATGTGGCATATAAATGTATGCATAAAAATTTCACATGACTGTCTCAGGGTCTCCAGAAGGTCTTAGCTGCTTGAAGTGCCATGCATTTTTCCATATTGTCATGGAAGACATATGAAGACTGATTTTTTTGAAGTTTATTTACAAGAAGCATTTTTAGCTAAGCTAACTGGTCCTCTAACATTGTCTTCTTGATTTCTGATCCTTTAATCACAGAATCATAAAATAATAGAATGGTTTGTGTTGCAAAGGACATTTAAAGGTCGCCTAGAACGTGCAATCAGCTGGGACACCTCCAACAGACCCTGTTGAACAGAGCCCCATCCAAACTGACCTCGAATGTTTCCAGGAAATGTTTCCTGGAATGTTTCCAGGCACCATCTCTCTGGGCAACCTGCTGTAGTGTTTCAACCTCATCATAAAAATCTTCTTCCWCTTGTGTCGCCTGAATCTACCCTCTTGAAGTCATTACTCCTTGTCCTATTTCTGCAGGCCCTATTAAAAGGTCTGTCCCAAACCTTCTTATAAATGTCCTTCAAGTATCACAAGGTTACATTGAGGCCTCCCTGGAGACCTTCAGGCTGAACAACCCTTTCAGTGTCCATTCATAGGAGAGGTGCTCCAGCCCTCTSATGATTTTTCTGGCCCTTTTCTGGACTGGCTCCAGCAGGTCCCTGTCCCTCCTGTGCAGGGTCCCCAGGGCTGGATGCTCCAGGTGGGTCTCAGCAGAGMRGAGCAGAGGGGCAGAATCCCCTCCCTCCCCTGCTGCCCACGGTGCTCTGGGTGCAGCCCAGGACACGTTTGGCTCTCTGGGCTGKGAGTGCCATGGCCGGGGCATGTCCAGCTCTCACCCCCAGCACCCYCAARCCCTTCTGGGCAGGGCTGCTCCCAGTGAATTCCTCTCCCCATCTGTGCTCAGGCTCAGGATTTCCCAGATTGCATGAGAGCAAATGCTGAGATCAACTTAAGTTTYAAAATCGATATTTGCCAAAGTGGCCTGGAATTTTGTGTGTCACGATTGAAATGTTAGCTGGCACAGCTGAAAATTGAGAAAGTGGAGAGGAGTAGAGCAGTAAAATCCAGCAGAAGAATGCTCCTATAAATCAGTAACACAGTGTTTCATAATTAATTTTTCCTGTCTGCCAGATGGTTATTTGCCCCAGTTTCCTGCCCCTCCTTTTTCTCTCAATCTCTCTGCTTTGGCCTTGTGCCATTAGTTCCCCTTGTCACTTTACAAATCCCTTCTTTCAGTATTTTCCATTTCTTTCTTTTTCACTTAGTGCAACTTCTACATAAGCAGCCTCCAGCTTTGCAAAAACATATGAATAAGTTCTTTCAAAAGAATGTATTTTTTTTCTACATGTAAGAGATGTCCTTTCCAACTCAGGATATCCTGTGATTCTRTGATTCAATGTTTCCAGTGTTTGAACATTCACTTTTTATTTTACCTCTCACATGGACAGTCTGACACTTGAACTCAATGAGGTCTTTATCCCTATGGTTTAGTTTTAGTTTTAACAGACTGATAAATGGTAGAACTTCACAACAGTGAGTTAGTGTTCGAAATACTCACCAGATTAGTTGTGAAGAACCCATACACACATGATATCCTCAGAAAGTTKTGGTCCTCTTAGAATTTGCTGGTGTTTTTGTTTTTTTTTTTTGTTGTTTTTATGTCAGGAGTTCTTTTGGATTGATAGGTGCTTGGTGTGTCCTATTTTTTAGTGGAATACAAATACTGGAATATTTGCTATATGCTCCCACAATGCAAGAGAGCCCTCAAGAACCTCACAGAGCTCTTGGAAAATCCACAGATGTTTTGTTCATGGTTAAAGCACCATGATAAAAGGATTATTTAGTTCTTGTGGTGTATCTCAGGATATAGTCTCAGCTTCTCTTTTTTTTCTGCACTTACCTCCATCTGAAAGTGTTGAAACTCTCCTTTTTTTATTTCTAGAATTCCAACTTTATTAGAGTCCATAAAGTAATTTCTGTTTCAAACTTCACAATGAAACAGTCAAATCTGCAGCTCTCAGACGTCTTTCTAAAAGCACTTAACCACCTGCCCCTGGAGTACAACTATGCTTTATACAGCAGAATATTTGAAGACTTTGGCACTCATTACTACACCTCTGGGAAGTTGGGTGGCTCCTATGATATTCTTTACCAGTACAGCTCTGAGGAACTGCAGACCTCGGGTATGTAATCTTTGACAAGAAATTATCATTATTTGTTTAACAGCTTTTCTTATCCCTCTTTTTAGGTCTTACRTCATATAGTAAGTTCTCCAACAGCAAAAAATTCTTTAGACTTTCACAGACTCAGTAATTACTCACGTTGCCTACATATAGAGCAAAAAGAAATTTTTGCTCTACACTGTCTTTGAAAAGTTCAGGAGATTCCTTATTTGGTAAATGTCACTGTGTTCTGGGAAACCTTCAGACCAAGACCAGGTGCCAGCAGGAAAAGGTGTTCCAGCATATTGCAGCATGGGGGTGAGGTCTGAGAGGTAAAAGTTGTAGGTTTTGGGATGCAGTCAATAAAGTTGATGGTTTGGCTTAGAAATTACTTTAAAATTTTCCCGTGACTGCCAGACTGTCAAAATGAAAAAAAATACCACAAAAATGTATATCTAAGGTTAAAAGCTGTGATTCTTAATGCCAATGCTGTAACTTGCATGGGCATGGGAGGGTAACTASAGCATTTTCTCAGCTCTTGGTACCTGGGGAAGCAGATGCCTGCAGTAGYGAAGTCTCCAGTGGTGGGCAAGGAGCAGGGGAACCTGGTGGCTTCCCTCAGTGTGGGAGCCTGGGGCATGGTGCCTSCCATGTGTCATGGTTGTGGTGATGAAGCTGCTGCTCTCTGCTATTTCTAGGTCTGACTGTTGATGAATCAAAAGAGTGTGTGAGAACAGAAACATCCTGGCGTGTGTTATTCTGGAAGAAAACGAAAGTCAGTACCAAATGCACTGCAAACAAGATGACCGAGAAACACGAAGGTGACCGTGATGGGAACAGGGACATGTCCTGTTAYTTACCCTGAGAGATATCATTCCCCTCAGCTGCCCCAGGTGACCTCTCAGCTTTGTTGAACTACAGACGCTCTTCCACCACTGTCAGAGGTGTCACTSTCTGTGGACACAAGCACTGCAATCATATTCTTACTTGCAAAGGAAATCATGATGTWGGGTGCTGTATGTCTGCTCTGGAGCACCACCATTGGGGATCTGGTGGCACTGGCTTTCCAGTTGGTCATGGATCTGTGAAAATTACCCCTGGCCTGTGCTCCAGGGCCAGGAATGYTGAATTGGAAAATGAGCACAGCTAGAAATTTGTGTCCGTGACTGAGTCCCTGATTTCCTTTAAGAGTTGCTGAGAGCTCACTGAGAGACTTGGGCAGCAATAACACACTCCCTGACTTCCCCTTCACAGCTTYCCCATGCCAAGCAGACATTTAGGTACTGGAGTACCAGAAATGCATCTCAGAAACTGCAGAAAGCTGGCACATTTTAAATGACAATGGCAGGATTCATCTTCTGCATCACTAAGAATAGGGATTTCATCAGCTCCACCCTGTTTTTGTCTCAATAGCTGATTAATTTCTGTTACTTGGGTGCTTACAGCCTGTACTAAAGATCCACCTGCCATGCTGGGTGTTCTGGAGGAGGCTGCTGCATCCTCTACATTTTCCACRGTTGCCTTATGCTCTGACTATTTCCACAGCTCAACTCTCAAATACTCTCTTTTGGAATATTTTCATAGGCTGCTGTCATAGCAGGAATTGTTCTTCTGAGCTTTGACTTAATTTTTCCAAGGATAATTTTTTAAAAAAATAATCTTAATATATTCCTTAAAATCCTCTTACAGCTTTTCTTAGACTTTTGTTGTTATATCCACTATCTTTGAAGACCTTTGTCTGAAAAACTTTGATGAAATCCTTTTCCAGGTTCCATTTTGCAGTCAGCTGAACGATCAGTCTCCCTGGTAAAAGGCGGCAGGTCAGAGTACGCAGCAGCTCTGGCCTGGGAGAAAAAGGGTGCTTTTCCAGGAAACAAAATCTTCCAAGAATGGCTGGAATCAGCAAAGGACAATCCTGTGGTGATTGACTTTGCGGTAAGAGAAAACAAGAAAACAAGAAAAACACTGAGAAAGCAAAGACCAACTGGTTAGCAGCTGTTCATCAGCTCTGAAGATGCTTTTCTTGTAAACTGAGACAATGCTGTGTGTGACACAAATGTACATAAATATGGGTGTAACATAAACATTCAAAACTTTATTCCAGTAACTTCTTGTGCATGTTGGCTTAAAAGCCACACCAATTTTGCATTGTCCATGGATGGCTGGGAGTAAGAGTGAGAAATGTCAATGAATTGCTGCAGCACCAGCAGGAGCTCAAGCATAGGTAGGGATTAGTCATTGTGGAGGAAAATGCATGGCGCTGAGAATGACTTTTCYCCCTGATAATGATAATTTCCCTGTCAGGTCTTTGCTGCAAAGTCAGAGCTAAACCAGAACAAAACAGCAACCCCCATACATCTGTCCTGCTCCTTTAATGCAGCTGCAGAAGCTACTGTGAGTGCTCCGAGCTGTCTCCCGCCCCAGCTGCAAAGTACTGCAAAGTACTCCAGGCAAATAGTAAAACCTCCCTGAATGCAGCACGGGCTGAGGTCTCTCCTGCTGCTGCTGCTGAACCCCTGAAGGCAGCATAGGGATGTCTCACACGGCTGGGACTGGGTGCAAGCAAACCCTTCATCACGTGGAGACAGTGTCCTGAATTTTAAGACATAGTATCYCATTTAGGTGATTTTCCCCTGGCTCACAGAGCCCTAAACTGAGGACATTCTAAAATATAGAATAGCACTGCCTTTAAAGCATCCATAACTGATAGCATCCATAAAGCATCATAAGTGATACAGCGCCTTGAAACCCTCCACCGCCGCCGCGCTGTGGCTGTCCCCGCTGACCGAGCGCTCTGTGCAGGTGTCGCCCATCGTGGAGCTGGTGCGGAACGTGCCCTGTGCGGTGACCAAGCGGCAGCACCTGCGCAGGGCTCTGCTGGAACACGCGGGGCGCTTCGACCCGTGCGGGTGCGCTCCGTGCCCCAACAACGCGCGGCCGATGCTCTCGGGGACGCGGTGCCTGTGCGTGTGCCGCGCCGGCACCTACGGCCCCAACTGCGAGATGCGGGCTCCCGGATACACGGAAGGTATTTGGGGTGGTGGCATCGCCGTGTAAACGTGGCTCTTTGGGTGTCCCTTCGTCAGGGATTAATCTGCCTTAACCACCCCTTGCTAAATCCGCAACGCTTGTTACCACGTGGTGATGTGCAAAAAGAGTAAAAGTAGGGATTTTTTTTTTTTTTTTTTTTAATAAAGCTGAATAGCCGTGACTCAAAAGAAAATGTAAGACATGGTAAAATATTCCTTAGCTGCATAATTAGGATAATATGAAATGAGCTGTTCAGCAGTAAGGTGAAGCTGAGATCAAAGATAATTGATGCAAAAAACTAAGAAACCCATTGCTTAGTTTTCCTTATAGCCTATTATGTTTAAAACTAAATGGCTAATGAAGATAAAAACTGTTGATTACAGTTTAGAAGGAGAACCCAGTTGTCGTAAGGGGAGAGAACGTGGTAATAATTCTGGAGACTTTAAAGAGCAATTTAATGCAAAAACATTTTTAAATGAAATATATACTAGTGCCCTACCTAAGGGAAATGAAAGAGACATTATGTATGTTTATATTCCACAACCAAAAAGGAGTATAAGGTAATGTCAGTTAGACAGATGTGGGTCTCATTATCTGACCCTGATAAAAGAATATTTTGAAAGAGATAAACARCTGAAGACAGAGGTCCATATATAAAGTGTATTGCATGCAGAAAAGAAAGCGTGTGTAAGCAAAAATTTTTATGTATGTGTCATGGCTGTACAGATTAAATATGCCAGGGGTTAASAGGAGACAGTAGTAGCATGGGATGTACATTTGGGGCTTTGATACGGTGTTAAATCTCAGATTTATTAAAAACTCTTTAAATAAYGGCCAATCTAAGAAACTTGTCAGTTCCATGAAAACTTGTACATCTCTGTGTGCAATAAAAACATTAAATATAYTGGCTTCTAGGTTTTAATATTACTTGCAATCAAAACTAGAAAGGTAAATGTATTTTAGGATTTAATGAAGCAGTTGGATTTTGGCTGGGTACCTTTTGGAAAATTTAATATTCTAGATGTCATTTATTCCCTTAACATTAACAATTTAAAATCTTCTGAAACCATTATTATGAATTTGTCATCATCCCTCTCATACGTGGCCTTAAAAGAAATACTGTGTATGGTACTGGTCTGCCAAAAGATGGTGTTTCTTTTCTGTCTTGCAGTTGCTGTCGATGGACGATGGGGTTGCTGGTCTGCATGGAGCCCGTGTGACGCTTCCTTCAAAAGAAGCAGGACCCGGGAATGCAATAATCCCCCCCCAACGAGCGGTGGGAAGCAGTGTGAAGGGCAGGGGAAGGAGGAGGAGGACTGTTCCATCCCTGTGTTCACAAACAAGTAAGAGGATCAAAAGATCTCCATAGTYATGGGACATTTAAGGAACCCTCCGGAGTGGCTTTGCCGCTACCAACAAGTGGCAGACAACTGTCCTCTCTCAACTTCTGTGGTGGAGCAGAGAGAAGGAAAAGTCTGAAGATCTCTTCAACTTGCTTCTCATTTGGATTTATTAATTGTTTATTCCTAAAAAAATTGTTGATGGATTGCATACTAAAGTATTCCTGTAGATCTTGTATGCTGCTTTGCATGGCTTCTCTTTCAAAGCCATGGACAACTCTCTTGCTTTTCTTTGCTGGAGTTCACGGTTTCTTTTTTTTTTGCTATAACATCCTCTTCTCTTAGAGGTTTAGACCAAACTCAGTCTCACAAAGAATTCAGGTGAAGCTACCAGGTTCCTGTATTCCCACTTGAAGTATGCCTGATGTACCTTTTTTAGCAAGGTTTCAACTTCAAGTCCTAACCTCAAACTGGCTCAGTTTTTTTCATCTACAAGCCCAAGGCTTCAATTTTTCTGCAGGAAGCAAGAGCTGAAGAAGGATTTTCACTGTCCTTGCTGTAATAGCTGCAGAGGGGATCCTGGAGTCRATAGGAGAGGATTACAAGCAATGGGTTCCACAGTTCTTTGTTGCTCCATGGTGTACACATCCATGCCCACAGAGACTAGCCTCGTTGCAAAAGAATTGCATGAATAATTTAGAGACTTCTTGTTACGTTGTTCTTTGCCTCTTTTCTGTCTAAGAATATTTAATTAACTATGTTGATAGATGCATTTTGCACTTTTTTTTACTGCTCCCACGTTCTCCCTCCTACCAACCTGCAGTTTTGTCCACCATCTTTTATTTAACAGAATAAAATTGTGGAGGGAGGATGACAGGATACACTTGCAGTGCTCTCCTGATATTCTGCCATTGTTACTTGGTGACACAAATGCTTAAGATACAACCTCACAGCAAATTTTCACTTTTCAGAGGTGCTCCTTGTATAAATGATGATGAATCCAGGAAAGAAGACGATGTGACTGATAAACCTGAGTCTGGGTGTTCTAAGCCAGACCCACCAGAATATGGCTTTATCAGGGTGAGCATAAAGTTATACAGAAGCAAAGTGTAGTTGTTACAGAGATGGGAAATTTTACMGATTCTCTGCTATGTGTGCCTGAGAGCCAGTCTAGCTACTGTGTTAGAGGAATGCTGTGGGACTCCAGCCCACCACACTACACAGCAGCTGAAGAAAAGTCAAGGTAAAATCTGTTTCAAGTGGTCCCCAAATCCTTGTTTTGTAACCATGACATCAGTACTGCAACTGGACAAAATTATCATTRTATTGGTGAGTGGATGACTCATATTTCAGAGTAGGAAAAGCATGCATTCATTACATCTTATCAGGATTTTGCTATTGTTTTTTTTTAGCAATGCCTAATCTCATTACCATAGATTTTTGAGAAGCTTTTTGGTGGTTTTTTTTAGAATGAGAAGAGCCATTATGCTGTGGGGGAGRAAGCTGAAATCGCCTGTGTGAGTGGTCATAGCCTTGTTGGCTATCAGTACCTTCGGTGTCTGCCAGATCAAACCTGGACACAGGAACATATTGAGTGCAAACGTAAGAAAGGAGAAACGAACAAAACAGAAGTGGAAGAAAAAGACACAAAATAGATATTAATACAGGTTTTAGGRAAAAAAAATCTGTAAGATATCTGAAAAGATTGCATTTTAAGAAGGTATTTCACATAGACATGGCAAAAACATCRTGAGTCACTACATCACTCCTCTTTCAATTCAGAAGTGTTACTATTATGTGCTTTGTAAGGATATTGTAATACCCAGTGCATTAGAAACCCTCAGATGGATGCTGTAAGATCATTCTCTTGTCTAGTTTTAAATACCTCTAACAAAAGGACTCACCTTTTGTTTYCAGAATTACATAGATATATTCAAGTTGATACAGTAATGAAGAAAAAAACATTCTTATCGAAATTTCTCTATTATCTTTCGTATTAAATAGATGGTGTATTTCTAACCACAGCTTCCCTGTCTGCCTTGGAAATCTCYACCATAAATCAGTGCCTTGAAGTATTATAGTCCAGTTAAGAATTAAGGATCAGAATTGGTCTGTATTTGTTAACAAGAGAGATTTCAGTATTTTTCTAAAACTTGRTGTGATTTCATTGACGTTGTCTTGTTTTTAACCAAAAAATCCCACCTGCATATACTTATGAGCTTTCTATTGCTATTGATGGTGTTTCATTTACAAAAGAAAAATTAGAATATGCCTTTAAATCCTATTCTTACTATTTTTAAACAGCAATATTGAATTATTTATGTTGAGATACATTAGAAATGTATTGTAATTATTTAGTTATTACTTGAAAAATATTTTAAAGACTATGACAGTGCWCTGAAAATTTCTAAACTTAATTGTGTTAAATTTTTATTAGTTTTGAATGTCAGACAAATGTTCAGTGTTATTGAGTGTCTTTATATAGGTCTTCAGATAATACATTATGACTTTCTGTAAATATCCACACAGCATTAAACCAACAAGAATTATGCTCTTTTTTATTGTTTGTTACAGCCTCAGTATGCCTCAGGCCACCAATACCTGACAGTGTCACAATTTCCCCATTTAAGCAACAGTACAACATTGGTGAAACCATAAAGCTGAGCTGCCAAGCTGGGTTTATAGTCACTGGTCACACAAAGTATACCTGTGGGGAAGACCTGTCCTGGATWCCTCCTGTTTCGGGGTCTATTAAATGTGAAAAAGGTTAGTATGCCTGCAGATACTTTACTGTTTCCATATGGTATTAACAGTACTGTTTACTTCAGCTAGCTAGAACCAGAAGGCTGATGCCTGGGTTTAAGACSTATAGCAGCTGTTCATTAATTTTAGTTTTGCTTTGTGCCTACCATGGTGACAGAATTTCAGCTCTAAACTTCTGCATTAAGCTCAGAATTTTTGGAGGCAATGTACTGTAAACTTCAATAATGAAACTGAGACACTGCAACTGTTTGCTTAAAGCCGAACCAAAACAAACCCCAGCTGTATTAACAAGGCTTTATGAAAGTAGGAAAATGCATTCTATTGAAATTTCAGCTTCTCTTCTTGAACAGGATTTTCCAGTGACTTTTGCAAAGACTGATGAAAATACTTGTAGCATGCCAACCAAGGAGCTTTTGAAGAGAAAAACTTGGGAAAAAATAGAAATATATCCATTTTAGCTTTTTATGTAAAGAGTGTAAGATAATTCTTTTCATGCTTTACTAGTTACAGCARTTCTCACTGTATCGTTTCAGATGTGCAAAATGAAATTAGAGGTATTTGTAATCCCGGACAAAAGCAGGTTGGATCTCAGTGTGTTTGTATGTCTCCAGAAGAAGATTGTGGGTGAGTACTGTAATTAGAAGTTGAAGTTTCTCTAATGATAGACCAAGATACCACTGCAATACAGAACTGGAAGAATAGGAAAAGAGAGCTGCAAATCAAAACTACTGTCTGTTCAAATATTAGCTATTATTTCTCTGTATTCATTTACAGCCTGGTTTATAGCCTATGAAATAAATGAACAATCACAGGATCACAGAATGGGTCAGACTGGAAGGAGCCAYAGTGGTCATTTGGTCCAGCCTCCCCACTCAATGAGGGCCATCCCAGAGCACACAGAACAGGATTGTGTCCAGGTGCTGCTTGGATATCTCTAGTGAGGGAAACTCCACAGCCTCTGTGGGCAGCCTGTTCCAGTGTGTGGTCAGTCTCACAGTTCTTCCCCATGTTCAGGTGGAGCTCCCTGTCCATCAGTTTCTCCCATTGTCTCTCATCCTGTTGCTCAGAACCCCCGAGCACAGCCTGGTCCCTGTTCTGACCCCTCCCTGCAGACACTGACAGACATTGATGAGGTCCCCTCTCAGTTGTCTCTTGTTGAGGCTGAACAGACCCAGCTCCCCCAGCCTTTCTGTGTAAGAGAGATGCTCCATCCCTTTCACTATCTCTGTAACCTCCACTGGACCCGTTGCAGGAGCTCCACATCTCTCTTGTGCTGCAGAGCCCAGAGCCGTGCACTRCACTCCAGATGTGCCTCACCAGGGCTGAGTAGAGGGACAGGGTCACCTCCCTGACCTTCTGGCAATGTTCTCCCTAATGCACCCAATTACATTAATGTAACACACCACAGCATATCTTTTTAATCTACACTGCTATCTGCTACTGGAGACCCCAACTCTTCCTTTTTTTCTCTTTATTTCTCCCATTTCTACRTTGTCACCATCATCATCATGCACAAGGAGCATGCAAGGTTGGGACTATGATCACTAATGTTCCTTCCAATCCAAACCATTCTATGATTTTGTGATTCTCTTTTTGGGAAATGACTAAGCTCCACACCACTAKGCTGCTTGGAAATGCACGCACCTTCTAGGAATGAATCCACTCAGTAACCAAGAGCAATATGGGGAAAAAAGAAATTGCAAGCAGCATAACTGCTCTTGCTTGCCTTTAGTACCAATATAACTATGTCAGAGACAGACTTGCACACACAGTGCAGGGAGGCATTAACTCAGAAAAAACAGCCCGGGGCCYGTGTAAATTTCATGTCTTTGTGGATGTAACAGCATCCCTTTTTTCTTGTAGAGGCACATGTCCTTCACCTCCCATCTCAYAGCTCTCGTTGTATCAGGTCCTGGTCCTGCTGTAGCTGGGGCAGCCTTATTCTTTAGATGTATCTCCAGCATGGCCATGGCTTTGCTGTGTTTCATCTGATGCTGATGGACTATGTAGAAGCATGGACTTGCTCCACAGCCTGCTAAAATAATTTTTTCTTTTCTTCCTTTGGGCAGCCACTACTCAGAAGACATCTGTGTTCTACATGCTGTTTCTGAACAGAATGTGACCATGCCCAGCTGCCAGTACTTAGCTGAAATGTGCCTCGGGGTGCAGCCATTTCATTTCTTGCATGCTGGCCCTTGCCATGGTAATTCCAAACTAGACTGGGCTATTGAGAGGGTGAAGCTCTCTACAAAAAGCTTGAACACAGTGCCCTGTGGCTATGACACCTGCTATGACTGGGAGTACTGTCCAGGTATGACTTCTGAAATGGTGAGATTCAGCCTTCCCTTTGGTTCTAAAAGTAAAATGTGCTGACATTTTCACTGCCCCAAGAATGGTATTTACAGACATTGTGGTCTCTCCAGGCACAAGGAATGTGGAAGTGTGGTCAGTCTTGAGTCCCTGATATCAAGTGTCACACTTAGATAAGTGCCTTTTCCCTTTAACCACGACTAGTGGAGTGTTGTTACTTCCCATTAGAAAGCCACAAGAGGTACCTGGAGATTAGGGAACTTCAGGAGAATTGCTATTTGAATCTTTAATCACAAAAATGTAGTTGGTAATATTTTTACCCATTCCCTCTGAGGCTACTAACCTCTGGTTTGTACTTCAGGAATTAATTTGGGACACACCCTCTATAGCATATAATTAAATTGTGAAATTAAATCACGATACTACTTCAAAAGCAAGACTGGGGCCATCAGGCTTAATGGGATTTTAATGGTAAATTTGCAAATAAACTGTGTTTGAGTTTTAATGAAGCAGCTAAGCTGGTAAAATCCCTAAGAGGATTATACTCTAAACACTGTTGTGCAACTTGGCTATTCACTGTGTAAGCAGGTGATAAGAGCAGTAGTTTTCCTGTAAATGTCTGAGGTTCTGACTGGCTGGGTGCACATCAAGGGCTTGCCAGAAAAAGGCTGCGTGACAGACACGTCAACTTCAGCCCTTGCTTCCAGACACAAATCTGATTCTTATCGCACCTGGTCTACTTAATGATAAATAAAGCAACAGCAGTGAGCAGCAATCCTAAGCCCCTGATTTGAAGATGCAAGATTTCTTCAGCATAGAATTTGAAGTAGAGRACTATGGAATTGCTGCATGAGATGTTGTTCCATGTGGGCTCAAGCAGAGGGCATGACCAGGTGTGTCCATCGAGGGATGTGCTCTGGTGGAGCCTCTAGGCACCTTGTGCTCCTGGGAAAGTGATGATGATTTCTAAATTACTTATTCCAGAGCCTCTAAGAAGCCTAGGTCTGCTTCTGCCGTCTTCAAGCTGGATCTTGTGCCAGCACTTCAGCACTTGTTTTTTTTCTCAAAAGCCTACTGAGAAGCTCTATTCAGAAAAAAWAAGAGAGAGGGGAGAAAAATACAATAAATAAGATTAGTCATCACTGTGGTGCTCAAAAGATTACAGTTGGATCCCTCACCATCTTTACTGAAGTCCACTTTTCATGAGTGTGCACAAACAGTTCGGAAATGAAAGTTTTGTTTTTCCAGAGAGTGAGTAGTTGGTATCAACACCGGGACAGAAGACACTGCAGAGAARATACTGCAGTACCATGAAAACAGCTAAATGGAGGAAAGCACACATTTTTCATGTTTTAGGAAACTGAAGGCAGAAACTCTGCCTAGGGAATTTCTGGGAAAGAATATAAAGAGTCAGGACCTGATTAGATCAGAAATAGGTAATGAAATAACCGGCAGGAGTGAGCTTTACCACAGGCCAGCAGTAGGTAGCTTAGCATTCTTAAAGAGAGCTATAATGAAATAGGAGCTGACACAATATGGACCTTAAGACTCCATTTCATAGCAAGATTGTGTTCAGGGATAATTGGGAATAGAAAGTCAACTTAATATATCTTTGTTTAGAAGAAAAGTCAGGGAAAGCCAGTGGATAAAAATAGWTAGATCAATTCTGCTTTTGTATGGGCCACTGCTGCAAAAACTGTTATTTAAAGCTGATTACGATTGTATTCCTAATATCCAACCATCTAGCGTATGCACTGCAGGCTTTTTGTAATTAATATATCACAAACATCCTATAGTTTTTTTTTTTTGCCCTGTTGGAGTTTGAAATGTCATCAAAGTATAAAATTTGTTTTTAATCATCATATTTGCTGCTAAATTTCCACACTTTCATTCCCAGAGGCACAGACYCAGTGCACCTGCCTCCTGCCTTACGAGTGCCCCAAAGATGAGATCCCCTCTCACTGCATCCGAATGGAGGTGACATCGAAGAAGAGGACAGTCAGCCTTTGCATGCTGGCAGCCATGAAGTGTGCTGGCTTCAAGCTGGAGGTGCTGGAGCTCGAGAGCTGCCAGGCACCACCCTCTGGCCCTCAAACACTGCACTGAATGCAGGCTGAACCACCCATAGGAAAACTTGGTTATGAAAGGATAACTAGATCAAAACCAAAGGATGAGGGGAAAAAAGCCCACAGATCACTTAACAGCTTTTTGGGAGMAGGGTGGCAGTGAGTTTTTTTCCTGTCTGGAAATGACTTGGGCTCGGGGGTAAAGGGGCTGCTTGTCTTTGCTGGCAGCTCTGGGGATGTGCAGGGGAAGGGAGGGAAACAGAGGGGAAGGGAGWAAAAGAAACATTGCCTTTGGTCTCCGCTAGAGCCAGATGAGATTTCTCCTTTTCTCAGCCATTTGTTGTTTTGTCCTTGTGCTTGMAGCTGCTGTGCACTCTTGTCTCGCTGGCTGAGTCGTTCTGTACCACGCAGGCAGGCAGAGCGGGCACTTGAGTATCCAATGGGGAGGGGGTAGCAGGGGGTTATCTGAACTCATGGAGCAAATGCAATGAGCAACACGAAACACTGAGAACCACAATTATGCAATGATTGCCAGAATTCTTCAAAATTGTGTGATAATTGTAATAGCTGAAAGGAGAAGCTGTTTGCTTTCTGTGTTTGTTGGCTGGGTTTGAGCTTTAAGCATTGATGGGGATATTTTATGGACCCCTCAAGGGGAATGAAGCACGYGTTTGTACTTAAATATATAAAAGAAACATTTAATGAACAATACACTGGACAGAGTCCTGCTGTAATGTGTTGTTCTGTGTGGAGTGACTTGGAGTCTGCAGAAATACATCACAATCAGATTCTTTGAATACACCTGCACCAGCACCAAACCTGAGAGGAATTGCATGGAGCAACTCAGCCTGGCCATGGGCCCATCCCCCCAGCATTCCTTGGCCACAAATCATCACTTCTGAGCAGTTACAACTAGAATTTTCCTTTCAGCACTCAGAATTTTACAGAACTGAGGAGGATAAACCTGCCTTTTAAGAAGGAGAAAACTGAAAGTTGCTTATTTTTCCATCAACAGACATCACAATGAAAATCAGAAAAAATCCCCATAGAATCATAGAATGGAGTCATAGAATATGCTGAGTTGGAAGGGRTCCACAAGGATTATCAAAGTCTGACTCCTGKCCCTGCACAGGACACCCTGAGAATCATACCATGGTCCTGAGAGCACTGTCCAAACATTTCTTGGTCTCAGACAGGCTGGTGCTGTGACCACTGCCCTGGGGAGCTGTTCCAGTGTCCAAACAYCCTCTGGGTGAAGAACAACTTACTGATATCTCCACACCATTACCTTGTGTCCTGTCACTGTCACCACAGAGCACAGATCAGTCTCTGCCCCTCCTYCTCTCCTCCTCAGTCTCCTCCAGGCTGAACAGACCAAGTGACCTCAGCCACTCCTTAACAGCTTCTCCTCAAAGCCCCTGACCACCCTCATGGCCCTCCTTCTGATGTTCTGTAACAGGTTTATATCTTTCTTACATTGTGGCACCCAAAACTGTCCCCAGCACTCGAGATGAGGCCTCCCAGCCCAGAGCAGAGCGGGACAATCCCCTCCCGTGYCCGGCTGCCGATGCTGTGCCTGRTSCCCCCAGGACAGGGTGGACCCTCCTGGCTGCCAGGGCACTGCTGGCTTGTGTTTGGCTTTCCATTGACCAGGACCCCACGGCACTGCTCTCCAGTATTTAATTTCCTAGTCTGTTCATACATCCAGGATTGTCCTRTTCTAGGTATAGAATCCAGTACCTTTCCTTGCTGAACTTCATAACATTGGGGATTGCCCASCCTTCTTATCAAGGGTGTCTCTGCCAGTTCTCTCTGCCTTGGAGGAGGTCAACAGCTCCTRTCAAATCAGTATCGTCTGCAGATGTAGCATCCCTTGCAGTCCTGCATCCAAGTCATTTATGAAGATGCACAGGGCTCAAGATGGAGCCCTGTGGAACCCCACATGTGACCAGCTGCCAGCCTGATGTCAGCCCATTCTCTGTAAACCTTTATGACCAACCCATCAGCCCACCCATTGCATGAGAAATGTCCATTACTGAACAACCTGCCCCATGTGTCACACCTTGCCAGAGGCTGGCCCGAGTCCCTGGCAGCTGAGAGTAGGCTGGATGTGAAATGGTTATCTTTCCCTACAAAGAAATGTTTTTGGGATGTTGTCAAGCTCCCTGGAACAGCAGCTAGTCTCAACCTGATGGAGCTCAAGAAAAAGAAGAAATTAATTCTGATGCTAAATACAATAAAWGTATGTTTTCTTGCTTAAAGTATAYRATAAAATTTATTATAAAAGTCCRAGATAGGCTTTCCTTTGCTCTTTCCTCCAACTGAAGATCTACAGTATTATGCTGTTGGTGATCTAGGAGTGAGTTGCAAATTCAATTGTCTTTAGATTGTTTTTAATGCCATTGATTCTTCTTGCTGGTTGCATTCTGTGGGGGAARCACCACTCAGAATGGTTGTGTATGCTTTCTGCACCATCAACAAACAATGAAGATTTCTTGCTCCTGATCCTCTAACCTTAATACTAGCTTTTCATTACAGGACTCTGATTCCAGTGTGACTGTCTAGCAAAGTTTCTGATAAAAAGTCCCTTACACTTTTCACCATGATAAATTGCCTGATGGAGTTATTTCCTGGTAAACAGAAGGCAGCCAAGTGCTCCCTGACTGCCCCCATTTCTCGAGCACCTCTGGTCTCAGGATGGCTGTGAGCTGTGCAAGTGCTCACTGTAAGAATTGCTTTGCTCTCTCTTGCTGATGGGGATAATTCCCATAGTTTCTGCTTTKCAGTTGAGCATTACAGCCCAGAATGGAGACATCATCTGCCACTCAGAGGTAAGGTGGTGATTCTGCCATAAACTGAATCCTCAGGAAATCTTCAGCTGAAAGCAGTGGGATTTTTTTTTTTCTGTTGGCTTCAATAAATCCACTGGTCTGGACTGCACTCTGCAGGGACTTTAGGTTTGCTCCTGTGCTCTATCACAGGAGCRCCCAACCTTTGGATCAAAAATTGAAGTTCTTTAATCTTTCCTGAATCTTTTTCTTAGATATGATGACTTATATTAGGTAATGATAGTTTTCTTGTTCACTGTGGGCAGGAAATGCCATTCCTCCTTTGCCATTATAAGCTCCAAGTAACATACCTGGCTTGATGGATCATTGCCTTGGGCCATAAATTATAATTGGAGGAGATACAAGMGACCTGAAGTCAATCTGTCAGGGTAACCTAGGTCACAGAGACCTCACCAATTCTCAAAGGACAACATTCTTGGTAATGCAGCTTCTCTACTGCACAGAAAAAAWATCCCATCTGTTTGGTCTTCACATTACAAAGGAAACATTATCCAAAATAAATGTAATCAGCCTTTCCAAGCAAATTTCCATACAAATTCCAACATATCTAAYTTTTCACTAGCACAAGAATATGTGAAATATATGTAGAATATACTTGCCAGAGATTGAGGCAGCTGAGGCACAAATCATGTTATAATGTTTATCCTTATGCAAGGGGTATTTCAGAGTTTTCCTCAATGGTTTGAAGTTAAAGCAGATATAYAGTTTTAAATATCAACTGCCAAACTTTTGCTGATGAGCCATTGCTTAGTTTTAGAAATTACTGTTCCTCGTTACAAATATGAAAACATCTGRTATTAAATGTTTGAGTCCTGGTGTGTTTATATTTCAGATGCTGTGAGAATGGTAGTTATCTCTTGATTCAAGATTTTGGTGCAAAATAAGACTATTGAATGCAAAGTTGCTACATAGAGTAAACACAGTAGAAAACAGGTGCCAGTGGTTTTGCTAGCAACACTTTCCCAGTAGGTGATAACCATCTTAGCCAGTTGTTTTTCCAGTAAGTTCTGGCAGAGCCCACTGCTGTCCAGTGCAGTCTTGGATTTGCCCTCCAGTAAGGGCAGGGATGCATCTCCAGCAGCAGAATAAATTGTGGCAATCATGATAGCTCCAGCTCAACATGTTCAGTTGTGTATTCAGAGGGAGAAGCCATCACATTTCTCCTCACTCAGATGTCCTTGAGCAGTAGGCTTTGACTATTTGTTTCAGAAAATTGAGGCTTCAACTGCATCTGTAACAGGAACAACTCAACTTCATTGATGGGGGGTTRTGGGATAAAGATGCCACAAACAACATGGTTTGAAAACCAAAACTTAACTGAAGTAATAAAACTTGTGCTCCCAGATGTAAATTTTATTACAAGAGGTCTCTCAACAGCTCCCAAAGCTGTGTGTTCATATGTAGCTTAGTGGGAAGATTTCCAGTGCAGAGGAATTTGGCCAAGCTGATCTTTATTCCTCAATTACCTCAAATGAGACACCTCTAAAGGTGAATGGCTGCACTCAAGATAATCACCTTTGGCTGTCCTTTCAGGCAGTTCAGGAAAGAAATAGATCCTTGAAGACAGTATTTCTGTCTGCTTAGATAGACATCTCAAAACAAGCTGGGTGAGTCATGCCCTGCCTTCCTGTGCTGACTTTGAAGGAAAGCAGGGGGTAACTAGGACAAATACAAATACTTATGCTATAGATATTCAAAATTGGATTAAACTTTCCTACTTATGTTTTTTTTTTTTTTTTAAAGAATAACAAGCTCCAGCGACAAAAGGCCAGAACTGCATTTGTGATAATGCAAGTCTGGCTCTGAAAGAGTGCTTAGCACCAAATGAGGTGCCTCTTTCCCATCACATGCTCTGTCAAGCAGAAACCACGCAGAGTTCACACGGTGGTGGATGAGGGTGTCTGTATGAGACACGCCTGCCATGGCAGCACAGGGGTGGGTCACTGTCGTGCATCGCACCCCTCTCACCACCCAGAGAGCCCAGTTGCTCTYGGGCTGGATAACCAATCCCAGAGAAGGCAGGGCTTCGTATTAACTCAACTGTTGTTCATTTTTAAATTAAGTCTTGCTGCTAAAATTCCCAGTTTTTCTTTGGAAGCTGCTACTTCCATAACTTGTGGGGTAGCAGAGCCTTTCACCCTTCTCTGAGGAAATCATTCACCCAGAGCACATATGGTATGAGGGGTGGAGGCACACTTATGGCCCGGACCAGCTTCTCCTGGGAATTCCTCACCCATCYATGGCCCAGGAAACTGTTTCAGCCTCTCGAGGCCATCAGGCCCTGCCCCTCCTGGCCATGGACCTTTCTGGTTGGGATCCCTGCCCATGGCGCAATGAACCAGGCTGGCCTTGGCCTGTCCCCATCCCCAGGAAGGTGCCCAAGGTTTGGGCTGCCTGGATCTCTGGGTTTGGGGTGAGACCTGCTGGAATGAGTCCAGAGGAGATCCACAAAGATCAGGGCCTGGAACATTCTCCCTGTCAGGAAAGATTGAGAGAGTTGGGGCTGTGCAGCCTGGAGAAGACTCCTGAGAGACCTTCTAGCACCTTCCAATATCTAAAGGGAGCACACAAGAGAGCTGGAGAGGGACTTTTTACAAGAACTTAGTGAGAGAATAAAGGGAAACAACTTCAAGCTGAAAGAGTCTAGATTTAGATTAGATGKTAGGAAGAAATTGTTTACTGTGAATGTGGCAGGGCATTGGAACAGGTTTCCCAGCAAASTTGTGGATAACCCAGGCTGGATGGGACTSTGAACAACCTGGTCTAGTGGGAAGAATCCCTGCCTATGGAATGGGGATTGGATTAGAAGAGCTTTGAAGTCCSTTCCAACCCAAAGCATTCTATGATTTCATGATTGGTTTGAGTTACAGGTTTTGCCTGCTGCC